AAAGGGTGAATATCTTTCCGTGATTTCCGAGTTAACAGTTTGCCCACCAAAATTTCACCAGGCCATAGGTGATACTCAAGAGCGCGGGAAGGCTGAATTTGAATGGACAAGGCTGAGCGTGGGCAGGGGATCACTGCCCTAAAATTACAGCCTCCTAGACTCCGTGGTTTCCGAGATATTAATTTACTCGTAAAAAATTTTCACGGGGCCATATGTGTTACCCGCAGGCACGGGGAAGCTAATTTAAATTTGCGGGGTCGCACGTGGGTGGGGAACGTCCCCCTAAATTTTCAGCTTCCTAGCTTTTGTGGTTCTCGAGTTGAAAGTTGCGGACAAGTTGCTGCGGGGACATACACACACAATCCCGTGACAATATGCGTTTTGTGCTGCTATTACACAGCACAAAATGCATAAAAACTAAAAAACAATGACTAAACAGACGTACCTTTGTAAATGTTAGGATTGACGTAGTTGTCGTCAAACGGATTCGATGACATTGCTCAATGAAAGTGTGATGAAACACCGGGATCAACGACGAAGACGAACGCTGTAGTCGTTCTGCAACGCCAATAACACTAACATCAGCATAAGTAAAAGATAAAAGCCCCTGCACAACTTCGACGGAAAAAACAGACAAAAACAGAAAGTACGCGAGTGGCAAAAAATGGCCAACATCAGAAACCCTCTGGCCAAGTTCGCAGTGGCTTTTCCTTCTGAAGAGTGCGCAGAACAAGAGCTGATGGCGGGTTTGATTCCCTGGCACTTCTTGGCAGCAGCACAAATCTGCCAAGGAAATGAGCCGTAGGGGCAATGGTTTGCTGCAGCAGTGAATTCGAGCCATCAGGCCTCAGCCCGAAAACGGCGCTATTAATACCACAATGCCACAGATTTATCAAAACCCTTTTGCTGGAAAAAAAAAATCCATGTACAGTTGAGTGGAAGTAAATGCCCGAGCTGTTAGGAAAGCAAATGGGCATGCTCAGAAAGGCGTGCAAGATTGCCAGGGAAAATTTAGCACTGGCCAGATGCCCAACAGCTGCAGGCTGATCCAAGAAGGGCACTGGCACCAGTGCTGCAAAAGCTCGAATGTGTTCATAAATAACTGGCCAACGCACGGGCTGCCCGTGCACAGATACGTTTTTTGCATAGTTCCCCGCAGTCTTTGTCGCTACCGGCACCGGTTTTTTCGGCAAATACTTCTAGCTAAACAAATTAAGACTGGCCGCCAGAACTATCAGGAAACATCCCCTTAAAATTTCAGCTTTCTAGCTTTCCCGGTTTCTGAGTTAGCAACTTACTGGAAGAAAAATTTTCACGGATCCGCTCGTGGATGCCACGCATACCCGGGGGATGGGTTTGAGCTCATTAATACCTACTTGGACGAGGAACATTACCTAAGATTTCACAATTCTAGCTTCTCAGATCTCCAAGTTATGAACTTACCCGAAAAAATTTTGGCGGGCTCGTACGCGGGTACCACGCTTACCGAGGGGCTGGGTTTGAGCCTACTAATGCCTGCTTGGACGGGGAACGTCCCCTTGAAATTTCAGCTCTCAAGCATTTCTGGTTCTCGAGTTAGCAGCTTACCCGTTAAAAAGTTTGGCAGGCTCTTACGTAGGAACCACGCGGGTAATGGCGCCCATTTTGTGGATTGGAGCCCGTACGTGCATGTAGGTCAAGTTCCCAAAGTTTCAGCCCTGTAGCTTTCGTAGGTTTCGAGATGAAAAAGCATGACAGACGCATACACGGACATACACACACAAACACAGACGACCCCAAGTCAATATGCGTTTTCTGCATTGCATAGATGCAAAAAAAGCATAATAAAACTAAAGTAACTCGAAATAGCAGTGTCACAACTCTATTCCTAGTTTTTGCACAGTCCCAGGATGGGAGGGGACTTTCCTATCCAATAGGAGCCCAACTACCTCTCCCCCTGCAGAAATCCACCCCGGACCCGCCTATTCCCACAGCCCGCTGTCCATGTTAATTAGACAGAATTGGGAAAAAGGAGGCAACCCGGGAAACAGTACCACACAGAAAACATCAACATGGGGGAGAGGAGGAAGCTGCACAGCGCAGGAATGGCAAAATTCACAAAATGTGACCCTCACCAGCATGAATACATACGTCACCACGATGAGTCACGGCCCCAGACGCAATGTGTAAACAATTGGCCCCCGTCGAAAATTTCCCCACTGAGAATCACAGGAACAAGCCTCCTCGGGGATGCGGTATTTCCGTAAACTTTTCTGACAGTGCTCGTGAAATGAATGATATACTACAGAAGCTTAATGCATCGCCTTGACAAGTACAACCATTGCCTGGATTGGAGAGGGAGGATGTTGACTTGGAAGAAGTTGACAGCTACGTCTACCTTGGACAATGAGAACTGGGAACTCCAGATAGCAAGTGGACATCGACAAAAGCACAAATTTCAGCGAATCAGCAAATTTTGTTAAAATGATCAAGTGGTATGGATCAAATCCGTATGTCCAGCACGATGATTCCGCTGCGCTAGAAGAGCTTACTACGACGATAAGCGCGTCGTCGAAGTGAGTGAAGGAAGCATGCTCGAAGTTAATGGCAAGCGGAACGCCGTTATAACCAAAGCGCAAGTCAAATCCCACTGAGAAGCGTCATTTATCCGCAATCAGAAGGAGGGGATGTGGCACCCACGAGAACACGGGGCTTCAGCAATTTAGGTGGCATTAATGAGTGTGTTTGCCTTGTTTTTCTAATATGGAGACCCGCAATACATACGAATGCATCTGTGTAACAGCACAGGCCACACACCTACAGTTCGCACCAGCACGGTAACAATTTGATTTGAATTAGTACGGTACCAACTTAAAACATTACGGTAGTGACCCGGATCAGTACGGTAATCAGCACGGTAGCCCCAATCAGTACGGTAGAGGTCCAAATCTAATGCAAGCTTAATATGATCCAGAACTAGTGGCATATCAACATATTACGAAGAAACTATTCCACGCTTGTAACTAGGCTCTATGCCGCATCTCTCAGTCCACCACAGTTCATGAGCTGTCTAGCGAACTCGGTCCAGCTCCGTTTTAGCGGGGATCAGCAGGAAACTCGGCTCCCTGTCGACTCATACATATTATCAACAGTAAGTTCAATCAGTGGAAAGCAAATGCACTACATTGTTGGCCCATTCGTAATCAACGGAGAGCAAGCAGAAGGATGGGAATATCAGGTAGCAATGGCTGGAAAGCCTTTCTGATAGCGAGCTGGACAAATAAAATATAAATTTATTGAGGCTTCTTCTTATCAGATATCATCACTAGAAACAATTAGTCTGGAACAGAAACAATGCAAGAAAAGAAGAAAAAACAAAAAAATCATTTCTGTGCACCGGCGGTTTGCTCGAAATCATCATCGGCAGCAGACAGGTCAATGTCCTCGAAATGCTCCTCCTCAGGCACCACGGAACCCTGCTCCACCGAGATGCGTGATGCGATTATCGATCCACTGGTTCCCTGAGTACCATCTGCAGCGATTCGTGGAAAAGTTGCGAGGCGGCCGAACACGAATAAACGCGAACCTGCAAAAACGTACTTTATTCGCCATGAACAAAAAAAAAAAGAAATGCTGAACAGGAGGAGAACGTGGTGGAATTGGATTTACTGTCAGCAGAAGTGTATGGTTGGCATTGACTATGCACGCAACCACATTTCTCATTTAATGTAAAACGTTGCTGCAGCTGCGCAAACAAGCAGGATGCTAGGGGCAAAAACACACTTGAGCAAGCTACAAAGATATGGCGCAGATTCTCTAAAGAAGCACTGCGAATTAACTGGCCAGATGCAGCTCTGGGTTAAAATGCTTGGTATAGCTGCGCCCGGAATGTAGCAGCATCCCAGTATTATCACTACAATAGGATACCCAAGCCGACTTCCAAGTGAACTTAGCATTTCTGAGATAAGTAGCAATTTTTGAAAAAAAAACGGGTTGTAAATGTTCTTCAATGGATTGCAAACTATTCTGCATAATTACAAAAGGCGAACTTAACATGGTGCAGATGCTATTACTAGTGAAGAATCTGTCCACTATTAGTCTATTTATTTTAGATTTCGGAAATAATTAGGCATTTAATATCTTCCAACGACAAAATAATTCCGTCGTGCTTGTGTTGCAAAAGGAAGAAAGTGCTAGCAGCAAGGAAACGAAGATGGTGGCTAAATCCCTTCGCCTTGCTCAGTTGCTCTTCGATTCCCAGTGATATGCAAATGTCCCGTCTCCTGACTCGAGTTCCCCCTCCGTGATACGTAAAGTGGTGATTAGAAATGAAACGGGGATTGTTTTGGTGTGACAGTTATTATGCGACTTGAATCTGCTGCCGTTCCTCCGCTCCCATCCCCCTGTATTGTCCGGTGGCAGCTTGGAACTGCTGCCGAATATTTCGCGGTTTGTTTTTCTGACTCTTTTGGTTGTGCGTTTCTTTACTAATAAAGGATTGTTGATTAGTTTGGGTGTGCGCCTCCCACAGCCACTCTGACCTCTCGTGCAAATCCTCCTCGTTACACTCGGCCTTGCATTCCAATCACTTTATAAATTTGTATTTTACTTATTTAAATTTGTGTTTTACTCCAAACGGATGAGAAAAAAACTATAAAAATAGACGAATGGAAGAAAAGCGTCGAACAGTTTGGTGCTGAGAACTTACCTTCATGCACATGTTCTCTGCAATACGCCACTGAGGTTCGTGTCGTTAATCGCACTCGAAAATCGTACTGACCTGCAGAGGACAATAAGAAATTGGATGAATATACAAGATAATCAGTAAAAGTGTTTAAATTTGCTCGGAAGGCAAACAAGCCAGGAGCTACGAAAATGACCTGAAGAATTTCTAATTTAGTTCGCGGTATGCCGGTAATAAACCACAAAGTAAAACTGTAAAGTAGCAGATTCAAAAACAAAAAAAAAGGAAGTGAGATGAAGGTTACCTCCAAATGAATTCGTTACGATTCGCACGGCGCTAAATCTGACACCATTTCTTGACGTACCGAAAAATGGCTTAGTGGTTACTGTTCCACTCAGATACACCCGATTGATACTGAAACACCTCGTTCACCCACAACATTGTAATTTAGCTCGTCTGAACTTTACAGTGATTGTTTTAAAAAGATCAATGGTAAAAACTAGCATGCAAGTGCAACACAATGCATGCAAAAAAATCTTACTAAAAAAAAGCCAAATTAAATTCAAAATTTAGCCAAAAAAACGCAAAACACAGTCCAATGAGAGCAAAAACTGGCTAAAAAGAGGAAAAATTTAACAAAGAAGAAACCCAGGCTGGAACGCACCAGGCTCTCCGGTGCGATCATGCGTTTTTGCACTAAACTCTTAGATCCCTATTAGCAGGAATGATCCCTACGCTGCAGCCCAACAATTGGGCTAGTATTGGCCGTGCCTTTATCCTTTCTGGCATGCAGGACGAAAGGCATCAGATGGGATGAAGGTAGTGCATTACAGAGCCGCACGGACATCCAGGTGCACGATTACCGGTTTTTGCATGAAGTCCGGTCGTTTTTCCGGTAAATGCTCGCTTTGTGAAAAAATGACAAATGCAAATTTTTTAAAAAAATGCAAATTCCTAGTTCACTAAAAAGTGGAAGTATTGCTCGAGCGGGCCTTTGTAAAAAAATGCACGTTCATTTACGATTGCGGTTAAGGTTCGCGCTGCGAACGAATTTTTTGAAAATATGCAAATTTCCAGTTCACTGAAAAATTGAAAGTATTGTTCGAACGGTTGTTTTTTAAAAAAAAAACCACGTTCGTTTGCATATACAATTGCGGTTCAGGTCCGAGTTGCTAACGATTTTTTTGGGTTGAGGAGCTGCTTGAGGCTGTGGATGGGGAGCTAGAGAGCCGAGTTTAAAATTTTTATCTCGCACGTGCATAGAGAATATCCTTGCAAAGTTCCAGCTTTCTACGTTGCCTGGTTCGCGAAATCGTTTCCCGCCAACAAATTTCTTGAGGGTCCCGTACGCGAGGTCTAGGCGCCTATGGGGAAAGATCTTAAACCGGGTAGGAACATGTATGCAAAGTTTCAGCCTCCCAGCTTTCCTGGTTGCTGAGATGAAAGTGGGTGACAAAATGCA